CTTTCCCCACAATTGTATATGCAGTCATTCCAAGTTCCATGGGATTGTACATTATTTGGGATGGCTTCTAGCAATATCCCCCTATACATTTCCCACACTCGATGCCCTGGAGATTGGGATGGGCAATCAATGTCTAAATATAACTGTTTTACAATTTTGGACATTGTAAGTTCATATCTTTCATGACTCTTTTCATTTTAGTAAATATATAAGCTATAAGTTCACTTAAATTGGCATATTTTAGGATGATGCACGAAATGATAGTGGAGCAGGGCATTGGTCATGTGTATGGATTCTTCGAGTCTCAATCCATACAAAAGTCGGGAATAAGCGTGATCAAATTCTCGGTTACATGCAGAATTGGATCACCGATTCTAAAAGAGATATTTACCTTGGAGCATACCATCATTCGTAAGTTATCCCAGCCTCTTCCGGTTTTACACAAGTTTTTTTAATAGATTCTAATCATGTGTATATACAGAAACCACTGGCGACTATTAGTTATTTGTCCAAAGCGAGAATCTTGTGTGTTGGTTCTCGCTCATTGGGAAGGAAACCTGACATGGAGCTAAAAAATATTGTAAACGAGTAAGTATTTCTTATATTATGTCTAAACATCTTGATTATTCTATTTCTAACCCCCTTCTTTTCAATATATAGTGCTCTAAAGGTTTGTAGTACATTAGGTGGAAAACACACAAGTAAAAACACAGACTCAAATTGGAATTTTATCAAAGTAAGTAGCATTTATATATATTATACTATCTATTAATTTATGTTCAAATTTAATAGTTATTTTTAACATATTTAGTCATTTTTAGTGTAACAAACAAAATGGAGGATACGAGTGCGACTACTATGTAATGTATTGGATGTGGCTCATCATTTTTGGTAGCATTCAGGATAGCTGGAATGAGGTAAGTTGACATTTGCTATTATATTCAATTCCTTTATTTTTATTGCTTAGAGTTTACCATTCTATTATTGTGAACTTCTTACAGGCATTTAAAGATATAGAACATTTGTCTATGGATACTATAGACATGGTTAGAAACAAATGGGCAGAAAAGTTTGTACAAGTAGTTAGGAATAGGATTGATTGATAATTTTTTGTGTATTTTGTACATAATTTGGCTGATTTTGACATATATATCTATCATTTTATATATTAGTGATTAGCTGAAATAAATATACTGTCTGGACTGAGATTATAGCAGGTCGTGTACTGTTGGTGGCACTAAAATAGACCAACATTTAAAAAAAAAGGAATATTCTACGTCGGTTATTGCATTAACCGACGTTGTAACGAATATACAACGTCGGTTATGGCATTAAACGACGTAATATATTCGTTACAACGTCGGTTAATGCAATAACCGACGTTGTATATATAACTTTCAACGTCGGTTAGTTCAATAACCGACGTAGAATTTACTAATTTCTACGACGGACATTTGGTTAACCGACGTAGATATATATCACTTTCAACGTCGAGTATTTTGAATCGACGTAGAATCCTTTGACATTCAACGACGCTTGATTCAACGACGTCATTGGAACCAACGTTGAATGCCTTCCACACCCGACGTTGAATGATCATTTTGTAGTAGTGTATCTACAATATTTTTTGGACCTTTTTCAACTGATACCAATGAATGTAAAATAATTATGTTATAATTTTTACTTTTTTATTTATGTTTAATTAAGTCACAATAGTTTTTTACCAAATAAGGTAAACATTAAGTATGTTTTCATAACATTAATTTCAGGTATCCTTGAAAAACTATTGAAATAATGAAGTAAGTTCTTTCTCAACAATTTATTTCCCTTACATTGTCAACGATCCAACCTCATTAAACATTTTGGCATCTACCCACCATGTCTGACTTTATTACGTTTAGTGTTTTGATAGGCACTATGTGCCCCCTAAATTAGTTTTTTTTTTTTTAAAAGATTAAAAAGAGTGGTGATAAAAGGCATTATAACTACTATTTGTAAAAAAACAATAACAATTATTACAGGAAGTAAATATGTAAATAAATTATTTTATTATTTATAAATTTATCACATCATAGCATAGTTAAAAAACACATTGATATATTGTGTATGGATGTTTCAAAAATTTATATAGACAATGACTACGTTTATTTATTTATTTTTTTAGAAAAATAATTTTTGTAATAAAATAATAATTATTGTAATTTTTAACATACTTTAGTAAAATTATTTTAAAAAATATAAAAAATTCAATTTTATGTGTTTTCTTAGGAAGTAACTTATGATTATTTTTTATAAAGGCGTATATGTGTGATATAAGAGATAATTTAAGATAAAAAGAAAAAATAAGTATTGAAAATCTATTATAGATTAGATCAAATATAGAATTAAATTCCACTATATAAATATAAGATATAAAACTTATCCTTGTAAAATTAAATTAAACTCATAATTAACTTCTAACATAATATCAAATCTATCATATATAATTTATTTTTCTTCCAACTTTTTAAGGTACATTTTATCTTTTCATTAGATTTTTTAATTACAACATATTATAAATAAACAAATTTTAATTAGAAAAATACATTTTTTTACTTTAAACAAACCCATATAAATTTCTAATTATATAATAATTATTTGAAAATAAATCATTTTTATTACACAAACAGAACTAATATCATAATAGTTTTCTATTGTATTAGTCAATGAATTTTATCTTAACTAGACAGTTGTATAACATTTATCACTCTTACCACTTATGCAACTCTATCTTCTTTTTTCTTTTTTATCTGGTTGAATATAAAAATATTTATAAAGCTTGAAAGTAATTAATAAAATTAAAAACATTTTGATGAAAAAAACAATAATTATAAATAATTATGTTTAATGAATTAAACTAACTGTACTTCATCTTTTACGCATATGAATATGTATATGTATAATATTTAGTTCGTGTGTTGGAGATGTTTTTCAACCTACGAAGATTTGACAGGGGAGATGATAACCTTAAGAAAAGAATGAAATTAAAAAATGCGTAATTATTTAGTTGGATAAATAAATAAATAAAATAAAGAAAATTGTAGAAGCTGTTGTGACGGGAAGATTGTTACGTCGAAGGCAACCCCAACAGATAATAAAGATTAGCAACAGAACGTGCATGGCATGATTGGAAACGACAACAACTTCTTTTGTCGGTTAATACATCCTCGTCGGCTAAACCCGATGTGTTGCTTCGCCACTGGACCACTTCATTCATTTTCTGGATCAATGTTCGCAAATAGGAACAGGGTACACCTCACATGCTTCTGCCCCCTGCCCTTTCCACTCCACAAGGATGATAGATACATGCCTAGATTCATGTGTTCCCAACCATGTATCTCATCCTCGCATCTCCATCAATTCAATTACACTTTTCAATTTTTTTTCCTTCATTTTACCTATTCTCTGCTTCTAGGACATATATGCGTCTCATTGGTGTAGTGCGTGTGTGTATCATTTTTCTATTCTTCTCTTAGTGTATGTGGATAACCATGATCTTATTTATAATATAATTTTTGAGGATGCATGCCTACAAAATATATGTTATATAATATTCTATGTAAAGTAGCAACATTTGGTTCCCTGCTTTGGATGTAGGTTGTTTACTTGTTAATTAAACTCACTAACATTAAAGAAAATGTTTGCCCGGGTGAGGAGAATTCATTCAAATCCATAAATTTCTATCTCAACTTTGCTTTTCTTAGCTTTATCTCCTCCTTTGATTGCATGAAGAGTATATTTGGGGGCTTTCTTCTGTCATCTGCACAAGTCCTGAACCTTTCAAAAACAAATTATTATGACATGTATCTGTCTGAAGAGAAAGCATCTGAATTATTGATTGATTAACAGATTTGGTGTATATTTTACTCTCACTCGATACAGAAAAATAATATAGAATGTCAATTTGTATATAGTTATCTTAAATAGCTAAGTGAAAAAGACCTGATACTACCCTGCTCCTATTAAACATTCAAGCATATATAAGCGCAACAATTGGCACGACTAGAAAAAGAAAAGTAGAATTTATTTTTTTATGTATGGTTCTAGTACCTCTCAAGTTCTCATATGATTCAGTACTCATATATTATTGGGAATGAGAGGTTGAAAACTGAAATGGAGCCCATCTGATTGAGTGATTAAGAAGATTCGCAACAATCACTCAAACTTTATGAAGTCCCCGTTACTCTCAAGTTACAATGTATCCTATTCTACTGGTAATCCATCAGATATATTTGATCCTATTTCGTTACTCAATAAAACTATAACAGACTTTACTAGCTCTTTTGTGGAGACACAAAATAACATGAAGAATCACGGTAAGTTAAAACATTGATGTGAAACACTACCAACGTACCAAACTATGGATCTGTGGAGTTTTATTTTTATTTTTCTCCAGCTTTCTACGATGTTAAAGAAAAATGAAGACCAGCAAAAAGACAGTGACAGTATATCTAAAATGTAACATATAAAACAGTAACCTTAAGGAGTTCAAAATCGACAACCTAACTTAACATGCTCCCTTGAGAAAAAAAAAAAAAAAAGAACTAACCTGAAATTAATGAAACCACATATACATGTCACCATCGGCAACAATTTTATATTAAAAGTTAACAATTAGCTTAATGAATGAGTCTCCTATTTAAGTTAGAATGGAAGTGTGAATAATAGAGGCGTGCAAACACGACACAGACATAGCGGACCACGTTACAAACTAGGGGGGACCCTCCATGGTTTGGTTGGCAATCTTTTCCAAACGCTCATACTCAATACTCTTCATACTACAACTTCCGTTCCTTCTATCTTTGTATTCAAGTTCCCTCTCTCGTTACTTTCTCATAACCTTAGCTACCCGACTCTTTATTATCTATCCTTTTATCTCCAAACTATCTTCTATCTATCTTTCTTTGAGTCCGGAATCACAAGTACAGACACACACACGCACGTTCAATTACTTCTCTGATATGAAGAAGCTTTGTCCCAATCTTGATCGCGAGGATGGGCTCGAAACCGTGCTTGAGGTCCCTATTCCAGAGGAGATTCTCACTCACAAGAGTGGAACCACCAAAGCTTGGCACAACATGAAGAACTGGATGAAGCCTCACGCTGAGTCCCGATCAAATTCACCATCCATGGCAGCAGTTTTTGGAGGGAAAAACACAGAGATTCAGCTTTTGTTAGGTGTTGCTGGAGCGCCATTAATCCCTTCACCTATCACCTCTGACAACCAACCCATCACTCGTAGCATTAAAGACCAACACATTGTCAGTAACTTTTCTTTCACTTTTTTATCGGTAGATAATTAGTCAACATGAAACTTATACACAGTTCTTTAAGTGTTTATACCGTTATTTTTATTCGATTAGAATTAAAGTTTCATTTAAATAACTTGTAAACTAATTACTCAATGAAACTCAAATTCTGATTCTGCTTGCATAACAGTACAAATTCAAAGATTTTATAAATAATTCAATAGTGATAGAAGAGAGAAGATAGATAATGTTTGTTTCACTAGTAAAATTAAATTTGGTCAAAATAATTCCCCTACTTGAGGAACAAATAGTTTTCGTCTCTAAATTTTGTTATGTTTACTAATGGTTTTATGTGTTGTGTATGCTTGTGCAGGAGGTTTCGATGGCTAAATACATAGTGAAGCAGTATGTGGCGGCGGTGGGAGGAGAACGTGCTTTGAATTGTGTGGATAGCATGTATGCGATGGGGCAGGTGAAGATGGCGACAACAGAGTTTTCTTCTGGAGAAGGGAGTGGGAATAATAAGAAAGTGGTGAAAGTGAAGAACTTGCAGATGAAGGGAGAGATGGGGGGGTTCGTGGTGTGGCAGAAGAGGCCAGAGTTGTGGTGCTTAGAGCTTGTGGTTTCTGGCTACAAGATCAGCGCCGGGAGTGATGGTAAAGTGGCATGGAGGCAAACCCCTTGGCACCATTCTCATGCTTCTCGTGGCCCACCAAGACCTCTTCGACGTTTCTTACAGGTAACGGATAGTTCTTCAAAGATCAAAAGACCATTTTTTTTCAAAAGGGGTAGATTGTTAATTTGTATGTGATAGGAGCATGCTTAATTATGACTCTGATTAAATTGATATGTGATTTTTGTTTATATGGGACACAATAGAGCATGCTTAATTATGATTAGTGTATGGGGTGGGGTAAAAAATCGAATCATTCTACTAGAGGACATTTCTTCATTGATTTTGGTGGACATTACAAAATTGCCTCTCTAGGTTCCTATGAATATGAATAGCCTAAAGGATCCTTGAAGTTACAATAAACCATGCTCAAGTGCTACTTCATTTATTTTTTCTCTTTACTTTCTTTCCCAGTTTTGCTTTGTTTCGTATGTGCTTTTTTCCCACTTTTCAAGTACTATTTTCTAAACTCCTCAAATGGTTTTGCTCCCTTTAGCATTAGAAGAAAATAGTGTTCGTCGTTGTCAGCATCCCAAATCAAAACATGCCAGCAAGGAAGAAAAAGTGCCTCCCACTTTCTAAAGAAATTAGCAAACGACAAAAGCCAATTTTTTTTTTTTTCATGATGCTTTTCATTGAAATTTGCGTCCTTTAGCTCCTCCAGAACCAGAAGATCTAAACTTTAATTTTCAATAATAATAATAAAAAAAAGTCAACATTCTAAGAAGGGAACGCGGGGAAATCTTTCCTTTAAAAGTCAAATAGAGAATTTTTCCAAGTTAGTAGTTGCGGCTAAGACAAGTGAACAATATCCAAACTTTTCCTCCGTGTGCGTGTGTGTGTGTGTTTGACAACCTGTTCTCATCCGTTCCGAAGCTGTTCTATTCTTCTGCATGGACCCCCCTCAGTGTTGAGCCAAATGTATTTTGTAATTTTGTTATTTACTAAAAAAAAAAATGGACCTTCTTGTGACCTCCATCAATGGAAAAGTTGGTAATGGTTAAAAATATAATTTTTATGTATTTTTTTTATTATTAAGTGAATTTTAAACGTTGAGTCTGCATAAATTAGTCAATAGGATTTACGTAAAATTCACAAATAATATATATTGTAAAGAGAAATGTAGAAGATGTTCCTAACCTAATTGTTAAAACCCCAAGTCCAATTTAAAACCAGTTGAGCTTTGATATCATGTTGAAATAGGAAAAGTGTAAATTGGATAAAATATGTGGAAACAATGCGAAAGACATGAACCTCTCTCATTAGAACACAACCACTAGAACGGACTAGTGTAAAACTAAAACGCATGCACACTATATGTGCACCTGGATTCTTTTATTAGATATCAAAAACTGTTTTGCAGCAAGTTCACATTTTGGTTGTGAATTATAGACAAATGATGATGATCTAATGCTTTGTTTGAACAGGGTCTTGATCCAAGGTCCACGGCTAATTTGTTCAGCAAATCTATCTGCATTGGAGAGAAGACAGTGAACAACGAAGATTGTTTCATATTGAAATTGGAAACCGAGTCCTCCACACTGCAAGCAAGGAGCAACAGCAACGTAGAGATAGTTCGGCACACGGTGTGGGGCTATTTCAGTCAAAGAACAGGTTTATTGGTTCAACTAGAAGATTCCCACTTGCTCAAACTCAAGTCTCACGAACACGAGAGCATATACTGGGAAACCAACATGGAGTCTCTCTTACAAGACTACAGAACCGTGGATGGCATTCAAATAGCACACGCTGGCAAAACTTGGGTGTCTTTGTTCAGGTTTGGTGGGGGGCCCGAGACACAATCCAGAACACGAATGGAAGAGGTTTGGCAAGTTGAGGAAGTGGACTTTAACATCAAAGGATTGTCCATAGATTGCTTCTTGCCTCCTAGTGATTTGAAGAGAGAAGAAGAGAATGAAGATGAAGCAGAGTGTGGTGGTGGGGTGGTTGCAAACAATAATGCCAAGTTACCCTACAAGATTCGTTCGGCTTCTTTTAGGATTAGTGCTTCAAAAGTTGCAGCTGTGAACTTGGATGATTCGTGTACCAGCGAGAGCGATGAAGATTTGTAAATCTTCACGTTCCTTACATTTTTTTTTTTTTTTTTTTGTAAATAGTGGTTACATGTTCCAGTTTGTAGATGAGCTGTGTGACATTAGCTTAATTCCTTCGATCTATTCTCACACCGAACTACCAAGTGTAGGACGGAAACAATTTTCAATACTCAATAAAAACTTCTACTTTTCCCTTTTATTTTATAGTCTTCCAAATAATCATAAATTTAATTTCTATTTGCAAGTTGTAACCATTGGTTTCCACTTGGGTGCAGACAAGACATGTCTACGATGGTGTTAAATTTTTCGTCTACGTAATGTTTTTATACCTAGGATTCGTTTCTGTCTTTGTTCTTTACTTGTTGTGAATAGATCTAGTTTGATGGTGGTTAGATTTCCTTCAGACTTCTGACATAAGCATGCGTACTTTGCTCTGTTGATTTCGTGAATGAAGCTGTAGTCCTTTGGACTTTTAGCCCCTTTGAGGCTGTTGTGTACCTGTGGGCTTTGGGCTGTTGCTCGCCTTTGATTCTGACTTTTTCGCTCAAATGGTCTTCCTTTTATCAATATTTTTCTATTCATATCATATGTAAATTGTCTTGATTTGAGGTCAAGGAGCCTCCTACAAAAAATAATAGAAATATGATAATAATTTTTTCTTCTCATTTATTCAATTGCTCAGGAATATATAACATAATGAGAAATAACAAACTCTCAATAGATCCTCTAAATTACTGACAGCTCATACATCAATATTTCCTCACTAAAACCCTACTCTATAAGTTATAATCAGCTAGGTATTTTGGTAACCTTTGAATCCTTGCTGCCATATTTGGGTCAGATCCCTCATTGAGCCTTTTGATACGGTTAGTTTCAATATTTGGGCCAGGATTACTATCATTATTGCTCCCTGGGAAAATCACCTTGTCCTCAAGGTGATAGTTCAAGCGTAGCGCATTCCAATCTTCCCAAGTAGTATCCTCTGGAGCTAGTTCCATCCATTGCACCAAGACCATTTCAGTAGGAGGGGATGTGGAATTGTCCCATTTGGAGTCCAATATGGCTATAGGAGTGATCATCATATTGTTGCCTTGTGTGGCCATGGGTAACACCTCTTGTTAAGCAAGGAGGGGGTCGTGATGAGCCTTAAGCACGGAGCAATGAAAGACTGGGTGGATTTTAGAAGTTGAAGGCAGCTCTAATCTGTATGCAACGGGTCCAATTCGCTCAATTACGCGAAAAGGGCCATAAAAGCGCTTACCCAATTTTTGATAAACGACACCTCTTTCTGAATTTTGGTGGTAGGGCCTAAGGCGAACATATACCCAATCATCAACCTAATATTCCACCATACGTCGCTTTCTGCCTGCAACAAATTTCCTCTGATTTTGTACCTTGTGAAGTTTCTTTTGAATGGTATCGATCATGTCTTGGCGAGTTGAAAGTAAAGAATCAAATGCTTCAATAGTAGAGGTGCCTGCCAAATACTGAGGAATAGAGGGAGGTTCCTTCTCATATGTGACTTGGAAAGGAGACATCTTGTAGCCGAATGAGTAGTCGTATTGTAACACCATTAAGCTAACCCCAAGTATTTGCCCCAATCCGCAGGCTTATTATGCACCATGGAACGCAGATACTTCTCCAAGATCCTGTTAAGGGTCTCTGTTTGCCCTCTGTTTGCCAGTCTCGTTCGGAGCTTAATGCCACACAAATGGAATAACTCTCTCCAAAATTTGCTGATGAAGACGGGATCACGATCCGAGACCAAGCTGCGAGGAAAACCATGGTGCTTACAAGCCATGTCCAAGAAGAGTTGTGCAACTTTGAAGGAAGTGAATTTGAGTGAGGAAGTGAATTTGAGTGGGTAATGTGCCAAAATGAGCACCCTTGAATCCAACGACAGGTCAACCCACGGTTCCAATGGAATAGATAAAGGTTGGAGCAAGCCAACAGGTCGTTTAGTTTCATACTTAGTTTGCAAGCATGTGACACACTGAGCCACGAACTTCTAGACATCATCACGCATACCTTGCCAATAGAAGTTCTGTTGTAGCCGCAGCAAAGTCTTAACAACCCCTGTATGACCACTTAAGGGTGTTTTGTGAAATTCCTCCAGCAACACTTGAATGAAAGGGTTGTCATTGTTGAGCCAAATCTTGTCTTTATATAACAAAAGTTGTTGATGGATGTTATAATGCTCATGAGCATCAGGATTACTCTGTACATCCTTGGAAATCCGAACAAATTCAAGACTAGTTTGCAAAGCCTTGCGGAGTTCTTCTAGGAACTGAAATCAAGGCATAGATAAAATAAAGAGTTGACTCTCACCAAAATCATAAGGTCGTGATAGGGCATCAGCCACGGCGTTAGCTTTCCCTGCTTTATACTGAATGGAATAATCAAAACCTAATAGTTTTGATAGATAAATTTGTTGCTCAGGAGTTTGGATATCTTGTGTCATTAAATCCTTAAGATGATCCATGAGAATTGTAAAGGAATGTCCAAAGAGATATTGTCTCCATTTTTTGATAGCAAAAGTGATGGCATGGAGTTCCCTTACGTACATAGAGGAACACATAAGCTTCGGACAAAATGATTTGCTATGAAATGCTATAGGGTGTCCTTTTTGCATAAGAACCGCTCCCATGGCCAAACCTGATGCATCAGTCTCCAAGATAAAGAGGGCAGACAAAAATTTGGAAGAGCTAAGGTTGGTGCCTCTGTCATGGTCTTCTTGAGATTATCAAAGACCTTTTGAGCTTTCAAGTTTAAGAATTTAACTACTCTATCTTGGATAAAGTTATGAGTAGTTCTCCCATCTACTAAAATGGTAATGGATTGTTTTGCAACCTGGCCCACTAGTCTAAGAGCTTCCAGAGCAGGTAATCCTGCTAAAGCATTAAAGCTTATTTGGACTTCATTGTGGCCCATACTTGTGTCATCCAAAGGAGATTGACTTGGATCCACCTCAGATGTTGGTGACTCAATCCGTACATTGTCATCATCATCAACAACAACCAACAAAAAGAATCGACCCTTACATTTATGCCCCGGACTGAATTTGTCATCACAATTGTAACAGTCCCTTTTCACGACGAACCAACATCTCTTCATGATTCAACTTCTTATAATGTGTTTTGGGTGGATTGGGGAGCGTTGGTTGTAAATGGGATGGTGGAATTGACAGCAAGGGAGGACCGGAAGACGGCAAGAAAGGGGGCCGCTAGCGTAATTGTCGACGTTGGTCAAGAAGTTTATCCTCCTGTAATTTGGCTAGAGTCGCCGCCTGAGACAATGTTTGAGGTTGCAATGTCTGTACCTCTCGACAAACATCCAGGTTTAACCTCGAAACGAAATTACTCAACAAAAAAGGAGCAGGAAGTCCAACAATGCAATTAGCAAGGCGTTCGAATTCTGTTAAATAATCCTAAACAGTACCCTTTGGAGTTAATTTGAAGAGAGCACCACGGAGGTCCTCATAGTAAGAGGGAGCAAATCGTACCTCTAAGGCCTGCAAAAACTCTTACCAAGAAAGAGGCATATTGTTCCTGTGCAACCATTGAAATCAGCTGAGGGCTGGATCGTCCATGTAGAAGGATGCCACTCGGAGTTGATATGCCTTTGGCGTTTGGTAATAGTAAAAAAACTGGGATATTTTAAAGATCCAGCCCATTGGATTGCTCCCATCAAATCGTGGAACATCCAATTTTAGACGAGGGGTGAATGGATAAGAGTCGCTGTGGTGAGAACCGTGTTCATTGGAACGTGGAGACGGTGAGTCACGTGCAATTAATTGACAGGCGATAGAATCCAATCGAGTCGTAATCTCATTTTGATTGAGCATGAATTTCAGAATAGCTTCTTCCAAGTTGGTGATGGATTTGGAAGAAATATTATGGTCTGTCATGGTGAGAACGAGAACACCAAAAATATAGGTAAATTGCCTTGATTCGAGATCAAGAAACCTCCTAAAAAAAAGATAATGAAAATATAATAATAACTTCTTCTCCTCATTTATTCATTGTTCAGGAATATATAACAAAATTAGAAATAACAAACTCTCAACAGATCCTCTAAATTACTGGCAGCTCATACATCAATAGTCCATCACTAAAACCCTACTCTATAAGTTGTAATCAGTTAGGTATTTTGGTAACCTTCGAACCCTTACTGCCATATTTGGGTCAGATCCCTCATTGGACCTTTTGATACAGTTAATTTCAATATTTGGACCTGGATTGCTATCATCATATTTTCCAATGTTTCAAAACGAATCGACCCATTTTTGTTTTTGCCTCCTAAATGAACAGTGCTGGTGTTTTTTAAGGTAAATCACAAAATGGATCCGTTTTCTTTTACCACATTCAAGCCATTTTCTTTTACTTTCTTGCAAAAGGGGGGTTAAAGAGCTTGGCGGTTTGCCTTTCTTTCTACCAAATGCAACTCATGCAAATAGGCTCATTTATAAGCTGGCAAATATTATGTTTCAACAAAGGTAGCTGCAGAAAATGGTCTAAACAAAAGCTTAAGCTGTGAAGCTGGATAAAGAAAACAACGTTATTATACCATTGGTAATGTGTGTCCGTGTTTCAGACTCGCAGAAAAAGGGGCTACGCCCGAGCATACATATTTGTAGAGAATATGATTGTGCACTATAAAGCTAATATTTAATGTTAGGAAACAAATCTAGGGGAATAAACAGCAATTAACAACAACAAATAGTAATAGACATTGCAAATATATCTAGTGGAATTAGGAAAAAAGTTGTAGACTGAGAAAACTATAATTAAATTGCACAGGAATACATGTGAGCTCAGAGAACTGAAGAATCACTCATCGATCAGTTAAACAAAAATAATTTGTTGACGAGGAAAGAGTAAAGATGGTTGCTAGTACTTATGTGCTATATCACCGTTGAATTGAAATAAAATTTGACGATTTACCACTTCAGTCTATTTGCTTCATTCATATATTGTGTTACTTTTTGCAATGTATGTGGTTTATTGTTAATAGTTGAGAAATCAGCGAGCTCTAGATGCAGAAGATTCCACTGACAATATGTCACTAACCAAGCTATCAAGGAAACAGTAAGACGAACCATCTTCTTTCAAACAAGCAATTGCCTTTTCCTTCAAATTCAAGGCATTCTCTCTAATCTGGTTCGCTTCATCCCCAACCATTAGTTTTTTAATGGCCTTCTCTACATCTCCTCTCTCTAGCTTATTCTGCAATTGCACCCCAACCTTCCAAAGACTACTCGCATATTTGGCATTGACCTTTTGGTCTGCAAAACATGGCATACAAATCATCGGAACCCCTTCACATATGCTCTCCAAAGTTGAATTCCAACCATTATGAGTCCAAAATGCTCCCACTGCAGGATGCCTCAGCACTTGTTCTTGAGGAGACCATTTGACAATGTAGCCTCTTCCTCCCAAATTCTCTAGGAATCCATTTGGCAATGGTTCAAGCCATTCTGAACCGCGGATCAACCCTGGTCGAATCACCCACAAGAAAGGTTGCTTGCTGTTGGCTAAACCCCAAGCTATCTCCAAGACCTCAGCCTCACTTATTGCTGCAATACTCCCAAAACTCACATAAACAACACTTTTACATTCTTGTTTGTCTAACCAAGACATGCAGCTTTTGTCTGGGGTTAACAAGCTAGCAGAAGAAGCTGCGCCAGTAAGTAAGTGTTTGTGAAAAGGGCCTATAGGGTATATTGGTATGGAAAAATCTTGGCGCAATTTTCTCAATGCAGATGATTCCAACTCTTCAAAGGTGTTCCAAATAACCCCCGAAGACCCCTTGCATTCTTGAACCATGCGACAAACTAGTTTGTAGAATGACTCAGGATCCTGCGACCGAAACGTAGGAAGGTCTTTCACCTTGAGTGGTGGGAGATCAACCACGGGCTCTTCCAATCTAGATTCTGAGTTTTCAACAAAAGTAAATACGAAAACTTCAGGCCCTTTCATCTTAAGAATGTTGCTTCTATTTGCATTTCAAGAATAAAATAGAATAAATAAATAAACAAAAAGTAAAATATCATTTTTATCATAATATCTATAAAAATACACAAAAGAAATGTTGAATTGCAGTTCTAGCCCTTTGGATATTGTGATTTTGCTCCTCGAATTCCAATTGCATCAATTAAGTCTCTCAAATTTTCTCCAGTTCACAGTTCTTCCATCTTGACTTCAAGCAATAAGCCATTAATTTCCTCAGAATTAAAAAACATTTCTTTTGTTGTTCTTAACTGTCACAAAAACAATATATACCCGCACAAGCATCGCTTACAGAGTTAAGTCAATATTTAGTTTTTACTGGTAAACTGTATTTACTCAGTGCCGTGTCATATCCAAGTTGACATGTTAGCTAGTTTGGTAAATCAGAATGAAGGAACGTGATGATAAATAAACGGGAAAAAACTTGAATGATCTAACTGTATAATTGTGTTTTGGGACTAAAAATGCAATTAAGTTTAAAATAAATTAATAAATAAAACTTTATCATCATCTGTTAGTTTCCTAAAAGTATTCATAACTTAGATAATCCTGATTAACATGAATAACGAAAGCCTAAACTTGTTCAATAAAATAAGGCGTACTCGCGAAATAATTTGGCATTAACACTATAAAATGAAAACCACTCTCTAGCCAACATTGCATTTTCCAATCAATAAAATCACCAACACAGATAGGAATTTTTGTATCAGAAACAAGTATATGAGTGTGGAACTTGAAACCAATCAAGTTTGATAAAAAGGGTATAAAAACAAAAGAAGAACCAACCAACCTTGTAGGGGAAGGTACCCCTTTTCTCTAAGGAGGGGAAACGAGGCAAAAACAAGGAAGGACGACGCCCCACCAGTCCTGAGCACAAGGCGTGGGAGCTTCAACTCATCGCAGACAAGTTGAGTGAAATGAAGGGCAGCATCGGAAATGAAGCATGGTACAGGTTCGGGAGAGTTTAAGAGCTGCGAAGCCAACCATTCCTTCAAAGGGTGTGCGCACCTGATGTTAATGAGGTCGGTGAGGTGCACGGCATCGAGCGTGGAGGCTTCTGTTTGGGATAAGCCATCGGGGATTGTGTGGAAGGAGAAGTGAGGATAGGAAGTAGGGTCGGGAGCGTTGAAAAGGGTGTGAACAATGGTGATGGAGAAGCCCCTTGAGAAGAGGATGTGGGCGAGGTGGAGTAACGGTGTTATGTGGCCTTGTAAGGGTGATGGCATGAGCAACAATCTGTGGCCTTTCCCTCTCTGCTTCTTCTCGTCTTCCATTCACAGGGTAGAGGATGAAATGATATATTCCTTTTTATTGTTGTTTTTTGGCCTTCAATTGTTGTAACGGTTAACTGTATTACGGTAGTGGTGAAGATTGATGAAAAATGGCGTGATACTGGAAACTTCGATATAGGGGGACTGATCTGATCTGATTTCAGAATGAGAGAGTTGGAGTTGGATTCTTCTTTGACTGTTCCTACGTTGGTGCTTATCTACATCTTCATTCACTCCAAAAACTGCCCACCACCTCTTTTCATTGACTTATGTGGAAAGTTTCACGTGCCCTTCCTCATATTTTTTGGGTATGGTTTAAATGCTACTCCATGGTTTTATGATGCAACCTTAAGATGTTACTACATCCAAAGTCTAATATCTTTTCGATTATTATCATGAGTCAAAAGTTACCCTTTAGTTGGGTCAAAAGTATCCTTTGCCTAGTCCGACGAGCTTTGTTGGAGGAGGTGTATTGAAAGTCTCACATCGTCTACCTCATATCATTTGGTATGGTTTAAATACATGTTGGGTTATTCCCCATATCATCAATCGATTTTATGTTGGTACCTTAAAGTGATAATTACTTTAAATAAAGAATAATTTAATTTTTTAACAAGTAAATATTAATATTAATATGAATTACATTGTATGTCAAACTTTAATTTACTATAAATATAAGAAACTACACCACCTTTTTACATGCATATATATACATACACAAGTGTTGAAAGAGTTTTCAACTAGAATTCTTACTTCGCATTTTCTAAAACAATCAAAATCTGACTTCCTCTGTCGATAATCTTTTAATGATATAACTAAAATGAAATAAAATAGAATAAGTCAAATTGAAAAGAAATATTAAAAAAATATATATTAAAAAAAAATCAGAAAACAAATACTACAATATTTATGTGTATATCATAAAAAAATTAAGTGGTTATATGAAAATTAAAATTAATCATCATTATATAATCATACAAATTCAATTTTAATATAACATTTAAAATGTTTTTACTCAATTATACTTTATATATTATAAATTTTTCATCTTGGTAGTTGATTTTAGAAAAATACTATTTTATAATTTTATGTCAATTACATATTTTAATATAATATTATTATTTTATTTTTTATAGTTGTTGATTGGACGTAGGAGGTGTACGTATATCACCCCCTCTATAATATCAAAAACATTTTTCTATACTGTTAGTTAGCATGTGAGAAGCAAGGGATATTTTAAGAAAATATTATTTGTAATATGTGAAGCATGATCATTTGTTCACATTTTCAGTCGGATACTTGAATGAATGAATTTCTGCGTTGTCTCGGATGGCTAATTTTTTTTTTTTCAAATTCCCTCTTTTGTTATACCACTATAAACATGCAAATTAGTATTATTAAATGGGAGCATAAATCTACAGTAAAAGTCTATTGATCCTTGCAATCCACGTGCCAAAAATAAGATATTATCGTTAATTCCTTATAAAACATAAAGGGTGGAATATATGTGTGTGAAAGTAAGGGACAGAAAACTCAGACAAAGAAGAGAGAGATATCGAAAAGAGGAAGCGATGGCGCAAAGAAAGGGTCGCAGGTTGTTGCTTGTCCCTTTGCCTCTGCAAGGCCACATAAACCCAATGCTTCAACTGGCACAAATCCTTTACACTAAAGGTTTTTCCATCACCATCATCCACCCCTCTTTCAACTCCCCGAACCCTTCCAACTACCCTCACTTCAACTTCTCCTGCATCGAAGACGAATTTGTCCTAACCGAATCCTCGGATCTCTTGAGTTTCCTCATCGAACTGAACGCTAAATGTGTTGAGCCTTTCAAAGAGTGCGTGGGAAAGCTACTTCAGAGTGATGATGCGTGGGAGGAACCTGTGGCGTGTTTGATCTCAGATGCTATCTGTCACTTCACTCAAGGCGTTGCCCACAGCCTTCAGCTTCCCAGGCTTGTTCTGCGAACCAGTGGAGTCTCTTCCTTTGTTGCTTTCGCCGCCTATCCCCTGTTCAGACAAAGAGGTTACATACCCACACAAGGTTACTTTCTCATTTTCATTCCAATTTTCACTTTTCATAAACTCACTTTCTTAATAATTTGCTTATCGTATGGATACTATATATGCAGAAGAACGTCAGACAGAGAGAAAGAGAGTAAATTTCTTTAAGATTTTTGGGAGTAGATTTTTAAATGAGCAATTTGTTTTTTCTAATGCTACTTCCAGTTAAAAGCAATTTGTTTTAATTCATGACTTCATTTGAATTTGTGTTTTAATATACAATTTTAACTAAATTACTGTCAAATTAATTAATTTCTGAATAAAATTTAAATTAATATTTAATTTTAATCATCAAGTTATTAGTTCAAGATTACACTATAATCTAACGATGAACGTCTACTTCTTAATTTATAACTAAAATTTTAGTAGTTAATATTAGAGATTAATTTAAATTCTGATTAAGAAATGAGTTTTAATTTAATCAATATAATGATTAAATTTGTTGTTTTTAAATTAGTCCAATGTTTAATTTAATTTATGGTTAAAATTGAAAACTACAAAGTTATAGTATTTTATTCTAGTTTAGGTTGTTAAAATCAGACTACACATTTAATACACTTAAAACATTGTATACTCGTTTTTAAGTAATTATATTTATATATTTGTATGTTATTATTATTATTTTTTTGGGAGGGAAATGTTACTGTTAATTTTACACATTTTATTATAACATTTGATTATTACTATATCAAAACCGACTAAAATGATAGAAGAGCCGGGTACCAAAAAATAAATGTACTGGGAGACAAATAGAGCAGCTGTCTCGTATTTATCACAAGTACATACAAAACATTTTGCACACACCTCCCATGTGGGTGCTGAACAAAATATTATGTAGTTTGAAAGTATTATATATTTATGATTTGTATACATTTTTATTTTCTGGTTTTAATACGTGTTTTACAGAAATTAATAAGGATAAAATAGTTTCAAAATTATCTAATATGTTTTTTAGTTTGTAAACTCTAAATATTATTAACAAGATTAATAATGTTTTAAATGTTTATATGTTCAAAAATCGGGATTATTGTCGAAGTTATTAAATATCTGAAAATATTGCATTTTGTGTTTAAATTTTTAATTTTGATCTACTACTTTTTCTGCATGTTGCACGTAGATTGCAAATTGGAGGAGGAAGTGGAAGAGCTACCACCACTGAGAGTGAAAGACCTACCCCTGGTAAAGACGGAGGAGCCAGAAAAATACTATGAATTACTGCACAATTTCGTGAAAGAGACAAAGGGTTCCTTGGGAGTGATTTGGAACTCCTTTGAAGAGTTGGAGTCACCTGCATTGACAAAACTGGGCAAAGAGTTTTCCATACCAATGTTCCCAATAGGACCCTTTCACAAGTACTTTCCTTCTTCCTCATCCTCTAGCAGCTTGATCTCACAAGACCAAACTAGCATAACTTGGTTAGACACACACAAACACAATTCTGTGGTGTATGTGAGTTTTGGGAGTCTTGCTGCAATGACTGAGACTGAGTTCTTAGAGATAGCTTGGGGTTTAGCCAATAGTAAGCATCCATTCTTGTGTGTGGTTCGACCGGGGCTTATCAAGGGCTCGGAATGGCTCGAGGCACTCCCAAGTGGGTTCGTGGAGAATCTGGAAGGGAGAGGCCTCTTTGTGAAATGGGCTCCTCAGCTAGAAGTGTTGGCTCACTCAGCAGTTGGAGCATTTTGGACTCATAATGGTTGGAATTCAACTATGGAAAGTATTTGTGAAGGGGTTCCTATGATATGCATGCCCTTTTTCACCGACCAGAAAGTGAATGCAAGGTATGTGAGCCATGTTTGGAGGGTTGGATTGCAGCTAGATGAGAGAATAGAGAGAGGGGAGATAGAGAGGAGCATTAGAAGGTTAATGGATCCCAACGTTGAGGGAAAGGAGATAAGAGATAGAGCCTTGAAATTGAAGGAAGAGGCTAAGATTTGCCTACAACAAGGTGGCTCTTCATCCTCTTCATTGGAAGACCTGCTTACTTACATTCTCTCATTCACTTTTGAAACCTCTTGATTACATTCCCTCTGGGTATTCATTTGAAAGGATTTTCATCGTTTTTCTGGAAACATATATATTCAACATTTTACTGAGTAAAATCCTTTGGGCAAGGTGCTTTTTTTGGGCATTTAACTCGTTGAAGTGTAATAATCATATTACATACCATATTTAAATGAATCTTAAATATAGCTAGTGTTGTAAATTAAGGGGTATTGTAAAACAGAGAACGTGCTCTTACACATTGCAGAAAACCGTTTCAGAGCACGTGTTCTCACATGTTGCAGAAGACTGTTTCAGAGAACGTGTTCTCACACATTGCAAAAAACTGTTTCAGAGAACGTTGCAGAAGACTATTTCAGAGAGCGTGTTCTCACACACGTTGCAGAAGACTATTTCAGAGAACGTTGCAGAAAACTGTTACAGAGAACGTTACAGAGAACGTTACAGAGAACGTTACAGAGAACGTTACAGGGAACGTTACAGACCCACTACCAAGTCTTCCATAACTGTTACATATTTTCTCTTATAAATAGAGACCACTTCACATTCTTCATAATAGACCTTTCTCATCTTCTCTTATCTGATCTTCTTTCTGTGATCTTGGGTTAATTTACTCTTTAGAGAGTTTCTTGCTAGTTTCTGAGATCCTCGGATATTCTGAGAAGTTCCTATTATATCCTGGGAGACTTGCGCAATATACCGTGGATAAGTCCTTAAGAGCAGTGTTTATACACGCCTCAAGAATAAAGTTTGTTCGTGTATCTGTCAACTTTTACAACAATCTTAAGGACTTATGGCTGACAGTACGAATATCAACAACTTCCTTCAACAACTTTAGAATATTGGATAGTGAAAGAAAGAGAATTATGAAATGCTCAATGTTAGTCTTCTGATTATGATTCATGTATGTTATTATGTGAGAATCAATTCATGTATGTTATTATATGATTATGATTCATGTATGCTATTACGTGAGAATAAAGAATCTAAACGTAAAGAGTAGTTTTATAGAATTAGTAATCTATAAAAACTACAAATTAAAATACATGTGGTATGAGAGTCATACTTATTAGATTTATGACTTTTCTCTTATGATAATTTTTAAATTATGTTTTTCCCAAAATTGAATAAAGGAATAAATCATAATTTATGTTTTAAGCTGCAATCAATTTCAAATTGAAATTAATTTCATAGCCCTTGTGTGAATGACACTGTAATTCTTATTGAAATGTGAATGAACCTGTAATTGATTTTAATTGAAAAAGCAAATTACGTGATTGGGTTAGAGGTGAATCATATATGAAATTGATTACTGCATGTTATAATTATGATGAAAAAAAAGGTAAACTTTTAGATCAAATGCTATCAACATACATCATGCAGCTTGTCCATAGAGCACACATGTCAAACACAATTTCCTTTTTCGGATTCATTACATCAATGAAACAGGAAAAATGAATTATGCTTCATGAATATATGAATTATGCATGAGTATTATATGTTGTGAGATATTTGTTTTAGTAGTGAACAATTAACAGTTAATTGTGCATGATTTAGATCTACATATTATTTTATTTTGTAGATATGTGTAGGATATTATTTTGTCTCCATATTATTTTGTCCCCATATTATTTTGTACATACGTATAAGTAGAATATTATTTTGTCCCCATATTATTTTGTACATACGTGTAAGAAAGGTTGAGACTGTATGAAACCAGTGGATCTAACCCCACTTTACATTCAAGAAAGAAAATTACTTTTTTGTGGAAAGTAAGGTCATCATGCACCTCAGTGGAGACGTGGAATGAGAAACGACAATCCTCCTAAGGCAAATTTAGCCAAAGGAGAATATACATTTATTGCGGTCGTTTCCCAAATAAACCTTGTGACAAATGTGAGCAAATGAGTGGTAGACTCTGGTGCTACCAGTCACATCTATGCAAACATAAGTGTTTTTACCTCCTACACTAGTATGGGGATAGAGAATAACATATTTATCTCGGTGATTCCAGGAAAACTCTTGTCTTAGGAAAAGGAAAAGTTCTTCTAAAACTCACATCTAAAAAGACTCTAACCTTGAATGATGTGTTACATGTGCCATTAATCAGAGCTAATCTAATATTTGTAGTACTGTTAAGAAAATTGGGGTTAAAGTGTCATTTAAATCTAATAAGATTGTTATGACAAAAAATAATGTGTTTGTAGGAAAGGGGATATTGTGATCAATGATTTTTTTTTTACTCAACATCTCTGAGGTTGTTAATAAATTTTGTTTTTCTGCTTATATTATTGATTCATATGATCTGTGACATTTATAGATGATTACTCTACATACACCAAAGTATACTTAATCAAAGAACTCTAGTGCACCAAATAACCTGAGAGAAGATATACTTACAGTGTGTTTTTTTAAAACTGGTAAAATTCTCTAGAGTTATGGAGAGGTTATAAACCTAATCTTAAATATTTAAGAGTGTGGGGGTGCCTAGTTAAGGTAATGTTACCCAATCATAAGAAAAGAAAAATAGGTTTTAAAACTTCTGATTGTATGTTCTTAGGCTATGCAGAACATAGTGCTGCCTATAGGTTTTATGTGCTCAAAAGTGATACAATTGAGCATAATACTATAGTGGAGACAAAAAATGTTGAGTTCTTTGAACATATTTTTCTTTAAAGGTTAGTGAGATACCTAAACAATCTATAGATATTAATAGTGATAAAATATGAGGATTTGAGGAGAAGTAAAAGACAGAGGAAGGAAACCTCCTTTGGAGATGATTTCTACACTTATCTAGTTGAAAATGATCCAATGAGTAAAAGTAGGGGCTGCTGATGCAATACATTGGGTTAAGACCAGTAGGACTGAAATTGATTCAATTAAGAAAAATAATACTTGGACTTTGGTAGATTTGCCTAAAGGAACAAAACCTATTGGTTTTAAGTGGATCTTTAAGACAAAATATCATCTGATGGATCCATAGATAAATATAAGGCAAGATTAGTAGCAAAGGGTTTTACTCAAAAATCCAACATTGATTATTTTGACACATTTGCCCTTGTGACTAGGATTTCCTCTATTCGAGTTTTGTTACCTCTAGCAGCTATTCATAAGTTAGTTATACACCAAATGAATGTTAAGACAACCTTTTTGAACGGTGAATTAGAGGAGGAAATTTATGACTAAAACCAGTAGGGTGTGTTAATCCAGGTCAAGAGAACAAAGTGTGCAGACTTTTAAAATCCTTATATGGATTAAAATAAGCACCAAAACAATGGCATGAAAAACTTGATAGTGTTCTACTTTGTAATGACTTTTCAACTAATGATGCTGATAAATCTATGTACTCTAAATTTGAAACTAGTGAATGTGTCATTATATGTTTATATGTAGATGACATGTTAATATTTGGTATATGCATTGACATTGTCTCCAGAACTAAGTTGTTTCTGGGATCTAAATTTGAAATGAAAGATATGGGTGAAGCCAATGTGATTTTGAAAGTTAAAATTATAAGGAAGGGCGATAGTATTTTTCTATCCCAATAACAATATATTGAGAAACTTCTTAGAAAGTTTGGGTGTTATAACGCCAAACCAGTGAATACCCCTTATGATGCTAACTCTAAATTAAAGAAAAATATAAGAGACTCAATCTCTCAACCTCAATATGCCCAGGTAATTGGGAGCTTACTGCATTTAATGAGTTTTTCTAGACCTGACATTGCTTATGCAGTAGATAGACTGAGTAGGTACACTCAATGTCCTAATCAATAAAATTTGAATGCACTTACAAGACTTATGAGATACTTAAGAGGTTCAATGGATTATGTCATTGAATATAGTGGATTTCTCGCTATACTAGAAGGATACGGTGATGCTAACTGAATTTCTGATTCAGATGAGACAAAATCCACTAGTTGCTATGTATTCACACTCGGGGGTGGTGCGATTACATGGAAATGAGTCAGACAAATAATTATTGCAAGATCACTAGTGCAAAAATGAGCTTTTACGTAAGGTATTTAGGGCTTTTTACGTCGTATTTAAGACTGACGTTAAAACGGGAGATGTAAATTTACGTCGGACTCTTTAGCCCGACGTAAATTTATGTCATTTATCAAGACCCGACATAATTTTGCGTTGCATATGCCACTAAACAGACGTAAAAACTTTCGAAAATTAAAAAAAAAACAGCAAATTTACGTCGCGTATTGGTATATGCGACGTAAATTTATTGTTTTTTTTTTAATTGGGTTGATTCTGTTTTACAACTAAAACCTGCAAATATATATTACAACCAGACAGTCCAGAGGTTCAATTTTCTTTAGCTAGTAAATTAAAAATATAATATTATATAATTCAAACTACATAATAAAACAATATAATACAAACATACAAACTAAAAAATCTATTACAAACTAAAAGTTAATACAAACTAAGCTACCTAAACTACATAATACACATAATATAATATGAACAAGAACTTGAAAAATTATGTACTAGAATTGTTGAACAAAAAGTTTTGCCCATTGTTCTCTAATTTGTGTAATATCATATTGTGGTAATGGAGATGGATCTTGAAATACCTAAAACATTAATTTGACTCTTGTAAACATGCAACATGAATAAAGTTAAATAAACTTAACTAATGTTAAAAACAATTACCTCCGTCCAAGAATCAATTATACCCGCACAAACTATGGCTCTCATCTAATACATAACATAGTAACCACATTCAAATGAGTTTGTTTGCTTATTACACTCGAAATGATGAATAAAATATAATGTTATTTTCAAAATTTAAATACAAACAATAATTATGGTATTCACTTATTATAATAAGTTTCTAACCTTAGGATAAATGAACTGCAAAGTCTTTATTACGGGTTTTCCACTTAGAACATTAGTTATAGACACGATTCTAAATGAAAAAAGTCATATATTATTCAATACCTTTTCCATTTTCACTAGCAAATTTCAAAAATTTATCAACTCCCTTTCCGTACTCTTCAC